TAGGGTTTCGGGATTAGGGTTTCGGGATTCGGGTGTAGGGTGTAGGGCTTAGGGTTTCGGGTTTAGGGTCCGATAAGGGTTCCTAGAAAGGTTCGAGAGTGTGTATCGAGTGTGCGGCGGATGTTGGCTGCAAGAGTGCAGCCAACATCGACCCTGGTTTGGTCTTGACTTCTTGACGGGGTCGTTTATTGCGAGAACCCATAGCCTGGCGACCCAAATCCAGCCTGTGGTGGACATGCGGGTCGTTCTCTCAAGTAGGGTCCCGTTTTAGGGGTCCTTTTTTTATAAGGGTGCCGTACTACGTTGGGGATCCAAAAAGGGGACCCTAATTTAGAGAACTTCCCATGTCACAGGGTCTAAGGTGTAGAATTTAGGGTTTAGAGTTTCACGGGAGCAGTCGAAAGCAACGAACACAAACACCAGCAGCCTCAGCCCGCGGCGGACATGGCATGTGTGAAGTTTGGAGTTGCCAGACAACAGCTGCTGCAGAAAGCTGCGGGGGAAGCGTGCAAAAAAACGCTTCAGTTCTCCGCTTTTGGTTTAGGGTAGCTATGATGAGGCTTCAGTGACCGTTAAAGCCTCTGAAACGAGGTTCAAGATGTCTTGAGGGTCCAAGGAGCTCCAAATAGTAGGGTTTCAAAGTCCAAAAACCGTTCAGGGTATGGATTTTGGGACCTAAAACCTTACTATATGGGTACTCGGACCCTCAGGGGGATTATGAGGGCCCACAAATGGCTCCAAACCTAAACCTTAAACCCTAAACCCTGAACCCTAAACCCTGAACCCTGAACCCTAAACCCTGAACCCTAAACCCTTGCGGAGCAAGTTTTTTCTCGGATTTCGAGCCTAGGCTCATCTTATTGGAGGCCCCTACTTGGAGGTTCATGGGTAGTTATATATAAAAGGGGTTCATAGGGTTCCTTTAAGGGTTCCGTTAAGGGTTTAGGGGTTTAGGGTTTAGGGGTTTAGGGTTTAGGGGTACATGGGTAGTTATAAGTGGGGTTTATAAGTCCCCGAGTATGGGTTATAGTTATAGTTACCCTACTTTTAACTCCACTTATAACTACCCATGAACCTCCAAGTACAGGAAAGCCGCCTCTTGATTTTTTGGCCGCTAAGGGAGGGTTCAAGGTTGAGGGGTGAGGGGATCTTAGGCTCGACCCTAAGTGACCCTTTTTAGGGTTTAGGGTTTAGGGTTTAGGGTTTAGGGTTTAGGGCTACACCATTATAAACCCCTGCTAAACCTAGGCCGCTTCTTTACTTCCCATCATTCAACTCTTGTTGTGGCCTCTGCAGTTCACACATAACGTGGACCCCGGGGACCCCTCAAGGTGTCTGTGGGGGGGTCCTTGTTCGGGTTCCTGCAAGGGTTACTACAAGGCTTACTATAAAGGGTAGCTGTAAGAGTACTAAACTGAATAATCATGTAGAGAACTGATGTAACAAGACACTTCTTTAATGGTCCTAATAGTTGGGATTCCTCCGACACCCCTCTCTCGGACGATTCCTCGGCGATGTTTTACGCGTTGCCCTTCTGTTCATTCTGAGACGTCTATCAGAGGCTCCTGGCCATCACAGATTAAACTCGGTGCAGCCATCGCGGCAACCTCTTACAAGTTCAACCTCTTAGGAGCTACGAACTTCTCCACGAGTCGTACTTCTTGACGCTCGCCTTACAAATCTGTACAAGTTGACAAAAATGCTCCATCGATCGATACATATATATATATATACAAATTCTACAAAACATCTTTGCCGGCAGCCTCTGGCGGCCTGCAAAGCCATCAAGTCTGCAACTTCAAACTTACAGCGGCATGCCCTCGCCCTTCAGCTGCTCCACCCAAGCTGCGATGCGGTCATCGGTCTGGTCATCCTCGTTGTCTTCATCAAGAGGAAGCCCCAAGAACTTGCCATCCTTCACCTGGACCGTATGCGGGCGACTAATCCAGAAACCTCAACACCTAAAACATCAGGCTGTGTTGGGTGCATGAGATGTCATTAGATGCTTTCCAACTATTCAGATCTTCTCTGTTTGCTGAAAGCACGGAGCAGCAGTTCCCCGGTCAACCGAGATGTCATCTCGAAGCCAAAACTGTGCTCGTTCATTGCCCGGCCACGCTCTTGGACTCTCCGTAAGAGTAGCCAGACTCATCCACGTAGCCGACCAGCTTGGCTCCCGCAGCTTGGAAAGCGTTGTGAAGCTCCTCAATGCCATCGCAGAAGTTGTCCGCGTAGCTTTGGGAATCGCCGCAACCGAAGACAGCGACGACCTTCCCTGTGAGGTCGTACTCCTCTGTAGGCATTTTGGGGGAGGGAAGGAACCGTGTGAAGACCATGCTGGGTGAACTACTCGGCATCAAGAACTCTTAAATCCTTTCTAGGCAGGTTCTGCGACTTGCAAGAAGCATACCTCACTGGGACTTTATACAGGCCCCCTTATGCCTTATGCACCCCTTGACTCCTTGATGGTGTCAAGGTAGTCATCCCAGGTGGTTCCAGAGCGATATTCATCTGCTCCTGTGTTCCAGATAGGGCGCCCTAAACCATGATCCCTGAAACCTAAACCCTACTGCTCCTGTGTTCCAGGTAGGGCAACCCGCGATCACTCCATCCAGCTCAGAGAAATCTTCTCCATCGTAATCCGAGGCTTCCAAACCTGTCGGAATAATCAGAATGGTACTAGTAATAATAGTAGCAGTAACAGTATTACTCTTTTTAACGATAAAGATAATCACAACAACAAATAGGAATAAGAGCAAGCGGTTATGGGTAACAGTAATAATCATAGTGAAACAAGAATAAGCAAGAGTATAAATAAATAACAATAATAAACAATAAAAACAAGAACTAGAATAAGAACAAGCACAATAAGGACAGTACCAATGGCAATGACAATAACAATAGCAATAACGATAACAATTCGTACAGAAAACTCTTGATGCTTGCGTTCGGTCCATCACGCAACTCTCTACCTGCGGAAACCTTCCACCAAACGAGATTCTCTTCTTGACTAGGCTTGGGGAAATTACAACGGTGGGGCTTTAGGGTTTAGGGTTTAACCTTTGGGCTTTAGGGTTTAGGGTTTGGGGTTTAGGGTTCGGGGCTGCTCACATGATTTCCTCAGTCTCGATCTTGAACCACCTGCAGTTACAAACGAACCCGGAGGGGACCTAGGAAATAGCCCTTAAGGGGGATTCCTATCTTGCACCCTTTAGTAGCATGGTGTCCCGAATTAGGGGTTCTACTTTCTAGATCCTCCCCGAAGGTCTGGGAAGGCGAGAATGCTTCTCTACAGAATGCTGTCCACACCTGTGGCTTCCGCCAACTTGGAAGCGACGGTTTCGGTGTTGCCCGTCTGCGTTGCATAGAAGATTCCCACTGCCGCTCGCGCAGTACAGGAGTTCCTGAACTGCTTCTCCGGGCAACGGAAGGAGGTTCGTGGGCAGGTATTAGGTCTAGGGAGTAAGGGTGTAGGGTTTAAGGGTCTAGGACTTAAGGGTTTATGGGTTTACTGGGAGGTTCATGGGTAGTTACAGGCGGAGTTGTAAGTCCCCTAATATGGGTTATATCTATAGTTGCCCTACTCATAACCCCACCTATACCGACCCATGAACCTCCTAGTAGACTCTTTAACGATCGGAGCTGCTGAAGGAAAGTCTTGCCGAAATCCGCCCCGGCTTCTGCCTACCGAAGGCCTTGAGCTTCTGCTGCAACGCGCTGTGCAACGCAACCTTCGGCAAACGGGTCCCTGCAAAGGAAGGCGCGGTCCACCGCAGGAAGGCCAAGGATGCAACGAGCAAGAGCAAAGCGGAACGCGGGGCTTTGGCCATCTTAGCAGCAAAGTCAACGAAAGTAGCGGACTGTCACTCTACCACCCTGGGGCCAACAACTGCCCGGATGCGCTGATTCGTCTGGAAACAGCACGAAAGCATGCAGGGGCTGGTCTGTCTACGCTACAGAGATCAGGTCGTATCATCACGATTATGTTCCTTGTCCCAGACCATCATCTTCCTGAAGTTCAACACTACCAACATCTTCGCCATCATCGTCAACCTCTTCTTTACAAGCACGCTCTGCAGATCGTTGTCCTCATCCGATCTTCGTCCTCGTCCTCGCCATCTTCATCATCGTAGACAGCATCACGACCATCAGCAGCATCGACGGTCATCGTAATTGACACAGCATGATTCTGACCGTCACAATGTTCGTTAGCATCTTCAACATCATCACTACTGGCAACACACCACGGCCGACATCGACAGAATTATACCATCAACAACCACAACCAAGCCGACGACGACGACGACGACGACGACCACGACGACGACGACGACGACAATCACGACGACAACGACAACGACAACGACAACGACAACGACAACGACAACGACAACAACAACAACAACCACGACCACGACGACAACAACAACAACATGAGCACATTCTTGAGCCTTACGAAACCCTACTTACTATGATCAATATCGTTGACATCGTTATTGCCATTACTATTGCTATTATTCCTAGGATTATAACAGGTTAGAGGGTTGAGGCTCTACATAAAAGTCACTCTTTAAGTTCCCATCATTCAAGTCTTGTTGTGGCCTCTGCAGCCCATAACGTAGGCCCCTAAAGGTTTTCGTAGGGGGCTGTTTAGAGGGTTCCTGTAAGGGTTGCTACAAGGCTTACTAAAAGGGTTGCTGTAAGAGTACTAAACTTACTAAACTAAAGAATAATGTAGAGAATTGATGCTTTTACAGAAAGCTTGTTTTAATTGGGATTCCTCCGACACCCCTCTCTCCGACGATTCCTTGGCGATGTTTTAAGCGTTGCCCTTGTTCATTCTGAGACGTCTATCAGAGGCTCTTGGCCATCACAGATTAAACTCGGTGCAGCCATCGCGGCAACCTCTTACAAGTTCAACCTCTTAGGAGCTAAGAACTTCTCCACGAGTCGTACTTCTTGACGCTCGCCTTACAAATCTGTACAAGTTGACAAAAATGCTCCATCGATATATATATATATACAAATTCTACAAAACATCTTTGCAGGCAGCCTCTGGCGGCCTGCAAAGCCATCAAGTCTGCAACTTCAAACTTACAGCGGCATGCCCTCGCCCTTCAGCTGCTCCACCCAAGCTGCGATGCGGTCATCGGTCTGGTCATCCTCGTTGTCTTCATCAAGAGGAAGCCCCAAGAACTTGCCATCCTTCACCTGGACCGTATGCGGGCGACTAATCCAGAAACCTCAACACCTAAAACATCAGGCTGTGTTGGGTGCATGAGATGTCATTAGATGCTTTCCAACTATTCAGATCTTCTCTGTTTGCTGAAAGCACGGAGCAGCAGTTCCCCGTTCAACCGAAATGTCATCTCGAAGCCGAAACTGTGCTCGTTCATTGCCCGGCCACGCTCTTGGACTCTCCGTAAGAGTAGCCAGACTCATCCACGTAGCCGACCAGCTTGGCTCCTGCAGCTTGGAAAGCGTTGTGAAGCTCCTCAATGCCATCGCAGAAGTTGTCCGCGTAGCTTTGGGAATCGCCGCAACCGAAGACAGCGACGACCTTCCCTGTGAGGTCGTACTCCTCTGTGGGCATTTTGCAGGAGGGAAGGAACCTTGTGAAGACCATGCCGGGTGAAGTACTCGGCATCAAGAACTCTTAAATCCTTTCTAGGCAGGTTCTGTGACTTGCAAGAAGCAAACCTCATGCACCCCTTGGCTCCTTGATGGTGTCAAGGTAGTCATCCCAGGTGGTTCCAGAGCGATATTCATCTGCTCCTGTGTTCCAGATAGGGCCCCCTAAACCATGATCCCTGAAACCTAAACCCTACTGCTCCTGTGTTCCAGGTAGGGCAACCCGCGATCACTCCATCCAGCTCAGAGAAGTCTTCTCCATCGTAATCCGAGGCTTCCAAACCTGTCGGAATAATCAGAACGGTACTAGTAATCATAGTAGCTGTAAGAATAATACAAATAATAACGATAAAGATAATCACAACAACAAATAGGAATCAGAGTAAGTGGCTATGGGTAACAGTAATAATCATAGTACAACAAGAATAAACAAGAATAAGTATAAATAACAATAATAAACAATAAAAACAAGAATTAGAATAAGAACAAGAATGACAACGACAATAACAATGGCAATGGCAATGACCATAACAGTAGCAATAACGATAACAATACGTACAGAAAGCTCTTGATGCTTGCGTTCGGTCCATCACGGCAACTCTCTACCTACGGAAACCTTCCGCCAAACGAGATTCTCTTCTTGACTAGGCTTGGGGCTTTAGGGTTTAGGGTTTAGCCTTTGGGCTTTAGGGTTTAGGGTTTGGGGTTTAGGGTTCGGGGCTGCTCACATGATTTCCTCAGTCTCGATCTTGAACCACCTGCAGTTACAAACGAACCCGGAGGGATCTAGGAAGTAGCCCTTAAGGGGGATTCCTATATTGCACCCTTTAGTAGCATGGTGTCCCGAATTAGGGGTTCTACTTTCTAGATCCCCCCCCGAAGGTCTGGGAAGGCGAGAATGCTTCTCTACAGAATGCTGTCCACACCTGTGGCTTCCGCCAACTTGGAAGCGACGGTTTCGGTGTTGCCCGTCTGCGTTGCGTAGAAGATTCCCACTGCCGCTCGCGCAGTACAGGAGTTCCTGAACTGCTTCTCCGGGCAACGGAAGGAGGTTCGTGGGCAGGTATTAGGTCTAGGGAGTAAGGGTTTCGGGTTTAAGGGTCTAGGGCTTAAGGGTTTATGGGTTTACTGGGAGGTTCATGGGTAGTTACAAGCGGAGTTGTAAGTCCCCTAAATATGGATTGTATCTATAGTTGCCCCCCACCTATACCGACCCATGAACCTCCTAGTAAACTCTTTAACGATCGGAGCTGCTCAAGGAAAGTCTTGCCGAAATCCGCCCCGGCTTCTGCCTACCGAAGGCCTTGAGCTTCTGCTGCAACGCGCTGTGCAACGCAACCTTCGACGAACGGGTCCCTGCAAAGGAAGGCGCCGTCCACCGCAGGAAGACCAAGGATGCAACGAGCAAGAGCAAAGCGGAACGTGGGGCTTTGGCCATCTTAGCAGCGAAGTCGAAAAAGGAGCGGACAGTCACTCTACCACCCTGGGGCCAACAACTGCCCGGATGCGCTGATTCACCTGGAAACAGCACGAAAGCATGCAGGGGCTGGTCTGTCTACGCCACAGCTTCAACGTTGCATTCGTTGAGATCAGGTCGTATCATCACGATTATGTTCCTTGTCCCAGACCATCATGTTCCTGAAGTTCAAAACTACCAACATCTGAACCATCATCGTCAACCTCATCTTTACAAGCACGCTTTGCAGATCGTTGTCCTCATCCGATCTTCGTCCTCGTCTTCGTCATCTTTAATCACATTGTCCGTCTAACATCATCGCTATCACACCATGGCCTTCATCGACATGCATGTAATTGATTGCCAGCATACTCGATTACTACACCAACATGAACACGTTGTTGATAAAGTGCATCCTCGCGGTTATCATCATCGCTGACACATCAGCTTCATCATCCAGAGTCTCAGAGCGGTCGCCAGGATCACCACACAGCGTCCGCTTCACGATCGTCATCATCACCAGCGGTACTGCTGATGATATAAATCCTGCATTACCGTAACCTAAACTATGGGAATTCTGGTATATTCCTTATTATGGATAATGATAGGATTTTGATCATCACCAACGGTATCATCCTCAGCTGAAGGCAGCAGCAGTAGAGCAGAAGTAGCAGCGGCCGCAGCAGCAGCCTTCGTGTTCGCAACCACCTTAGCATCACGATCATCAGTCACCATCATCAGCACCACCCTCATGGCTATCTCGTCGTCCCCATCACCACCATCAACAGCGAACAAAATAGTACCATGATAGCAGTACCAGCAATAAGACGACTTGCAACAGCAAGCATCCGAACAGGAACACACATAGTCATGACAGTGCTCAAGGCCCTCTTCCTTGCAGCGACGCTTTGTTCCGTCACCTAGATGAGAGACATGAGGTTCCATCGTTTACCGCCTCGGGTTCAAAAAGGTAACCGGCATGAGAAGGGTGGAGATTCGGGGTTGAGGTTTAGAATGCGCGGCCTAGGCTGCAGATTCCAGAGATGGGTATAGCCCTGTGAGATCGCATCTTGCATACATGCTTCTCGTCGTGCAGATCGACCTCTGGGTGAGAACAGGCCAGGTGAAAAGCGCACCTGGGGTGAGACACGGGTCAACGAATTCAGAAGGGGTCGAGTTTGCACTTCACCATCTCATCGGCGTACCTTTGTTGGGGAAGGGTCAACATGTCACCCTTCCTTTGCTGCCGGACAGCCATCTAGAAGCACTGCATGTGGTCCAAAGGCGTGAACTCGAGGGCAGAATTTATCAGTGTGCTGCCCTTGCCACTGTTCCCGATGCTGGCCTGCTCAGCAAAAACGCCTTTCAGTTAGCTCAATGTCGCTGCGACCCGCATAATTAATCAACACCACAACCAGCAGCATATTGATCGTGAAAACTCCCGCACTCTTACAATTTGGATCCCGTTATCTTTCGAGAATGCCAAACATCGCGCCCACAGAACACTCAGAGAAGTAGACATGGCGTGAACGAAGGTAGGACTACATACCACGTTCAGCTGCTGCGCAATCAAGCATGTGATGGTCCCAACATCTCACCCTAAACCCGAAGCCCTAAAAACCCTAAACGCTAAACCCTAAACCTAAAACCCTATACCCTAAACCCCAAAACCCACCTCGTTTCGGAACAGGACTGTTTCGGGAACCGCTCGTTGAAGACCTGCCAGCGAGACTCGGAGCTACAGAGGGGACAAGTCTTAATAGTCTTAATCTCTACTTGGATGGTCGGGGGACTTAGTAAGTGGGCAATAAGTAGACTTACAAGTACTCTAAATGGGGCCCTAATTGGGGATATGATACTCATAAGTCTATAAAATAACTACCTACTACGTCCCCCGACCCTCCAAGTAGGGTTATCAAGCGTTAGGGAGTTTAGGGTTTAGGCTCTAGGGTAGGGGGTTCGTAAGAGTTCATAAAGGTTTGTTAGGGGTCTTGGTATAAGCGCCTCAGGCAGGAGTTCTAGGGAGCTGGAATTCTTAAAACTGGGTCATTAAAAGTACAGCTACCTTGCGCTGAAGAAACTCTAAACCCTAAACCCGTAAACAGCCCAAAACCCTTAAAGCCTTAAAGGAGTGCTAAAGAGGACAGCGTGACTCTGATATCTGGGCCCTGAAGAACTAGAACTCTGTGGCATCAGATCGTACAACTACGGTTGATGATCAAAATCCTGCATGACCCTTAATAAGGAATCTGCCACAATTCCCATAGTTTAGGTTCCTTAAGGTAATGCAGGATTGATATCATCATCAACAGTAGGACAAGAAACCTAAGGAGTATCAACTATTTTCAAGCCCCTGTATTTAGGGGTTAGGGTTTAGGGTTTAGGGTTCATGAGCTACGTCTTCGGATCCTTCTACGTACGTGGGGCGGTAGAACGAGCTACTGACACAAAACAGCAGAAATCCTAAACCTGGATCTTAGACTGGGTTCTTGTTGAGGGATTTAGTTTAAGTTACCATAATAAGGAAACCATATTAATTACGATAGATCCCTCTTATGGTAACTTAAATTGACTCCCTTAACAAGAACCCAGTTTAGGGATTCCCAATGACCCTCAGTTTAAGGAAGCTGCTCTCACTTGTAAGGGGCCTAGACATTCTCGAAATCCTTGCCCCTGAACCAACCCTCCGAGAACACCCATAGAACCCGGGTACTGCTGGCCTAAACCCGACACCCTAAACCCCTAAACCCGAAACCAGAAACCCTGAACCCGAGAGCCCTTATAAATCCCTACAAATCCCTACACATCCCCTACAAATCCCTGTAGCTCCCTGCAAATCACCTACACAACCTTATAGATCCCACTAGATCCCGATCCCTAAAAATCCCCTATGTATCCCTACAAACCCCGATACACACCCGATGAATCTGAAAGCCTGAAACCTTGTAGACCCCTCGTAAATCCCTATAAATACCACAAATCCCTCTACTCCCTGTGAAAAAATGAAATCCTTCTAAATACGTATAATACCTATAGACACCCCTATGAATACCTACAAACCCCTATACATCCCTGTAACAAACCCCTACAAACCCCATGAGGAACGCTGCCTCCTCTTCTCCTAAGCCCCATAGATCCCCTATCAATACCCACAAGTACAAATCACAAATGAAAAAAGCCCTAACCCTTAAACCCCTAAACCCTAAACCCCTAATTAAACCCTAAACCCTAAGCCCCCAAACCCTAAGCCCTAAAAACTAAACCGTGGAAAAAGCCCGCCTCCTCTTCGTGCCAGCCAATGGACATGGCCTCGGTCATCGGAGCCTGCGTTTGGAGCGTTTAGGGTTTAGGGCCAAGCCCAACAATGTAACACGCGCCGCAACCGTGGACCGAAGAGTTTACTTCGGGCTTCTGGAGGGATTTGTGTGTATTTAATCGGGGATCCTTAGTAAGCCAGGGAAAGAAAGGGTAAAACTTTCAGATAACTACGAAATAAGAACCCAAAAAATTTAAAGGTTGGGTATTGGAGAACCAAGTAAACCCTAAACCCCAAAACCTTAACCCCTAAAGCCCTAAAACCCTAAACTCCTAGACCCGGAGAACTAAGGGATCTGCAAGGGATTTAAAGGGCATGAGCTCTTCGAGCTTTCGGGGCTCTTTCTGGGCGGGTCCTGTAAAGTTTGGAGGTTTTGGTGAGAGTCCTGGCCGATCCGCCTTGATAAGGTGGGGCTTCATTAGGGGCTATATATGACTATACTATAATTAGAGGTCAAATTAAGGGCTATATATAATTATTCCATAAGCAATATTATCCGACTGCTGCAGAGTTTGGGCAGTGCCCTACTTGTAACTTTTACGTCACCCACACTCGCCGGAATGCTTGGTGTCTGGGGGGGGGCAAACAACCGAGACTTCGCAGGACTATGACCTCCGAGCACGTCCCTGGGCCAGCCTTCCTTATTCCCCAATTTCGGACTTTCCGAAGATTAGGGTACCTTAATAAGGATCCTACTATTTAGGGTACTATGTTAGGGTCCCCCATTTTCGGAAACCCCGAGCCCAGAGCATCATGCGAGCAACTCGAGCCCTCACCAAGACTCAAGACGCCAAGCCGACACTAAACCCGATCTCCCTGCCCAGAGAACCCAATACCCCTTTTAATTCAGGACTATACCTTCAATCATGATACTAAGGCCCCCCTATGATTTAAGGCATATTCCTTCATGAAGGGGTATTGGGGTCTTTGGGTGGAAGCCTTGAACTTGTCCATGGGGTCTTTCATCAATCGCCGATGCCTTGGTACCCACGACTTCGCGCCTGGCTGCATAAAAGCAGCCTTTCTGCTCGGAACCTCCCGATGCCTTCATGGTAGCTCATGACCGTCATCATACTCATCAGCAGCAGCAGCAGCAACAGCAGCAGCAGCAGCAGCAGCAGCAGCACAGCAGCATCATCGTCACCATCATAAGCAGCAGCTGCACCACCACCACCACCACCACCGCCATTGCTGTTCCTGTCGTCAAAGACGCCTCGAAGCTGCGCAGCCCTCCCGGAATAAGCCCTGG